AAAAAAAAAAAAAAAAAAAAAAAAAAAAAAAAAAAAAAAAAAAAAGAACTTCTGTTTAAATCCTCGTGAAACCAACAAATTGGTGTTAAAATTAAAACTTTATAATATTAGGAGTAGATATGAAATTAGGTTTCGATATAATTAAATTGGCTAAATTAATAAAAAAAATATATTAATCATTTCAATAGTATCTTTTAATTAAAAAAAATACTTTTATCCTAGTTTTAGATGAATAATCATTTTAAAAATATTTTTTAACTTTAAATTTTTAGATTTTACTAATACCCTAAACATTAATGAAATTTTTCATAATTCAAGATTGTTTTTGAAGCTTTTAGAAATTTTGAGAATATTTTTGAAATAAAGTATTATTAGTTTCCATATTTTTAAACATTTTTTAGAAAATTTTTAAATTTCAATGAAAGTTTAAGAATATTTTTTTTTAAATAGAGTAAATTTTTTACCCAGTTAAATTTGTTCTCACTTTTTGTTCTGGAAAAAAAAAAAGTAAAATAGAAACGTGCAATTTAGCCAAATATATGAACACATGTTAAGAATGATGGTAAACATCAACAACCTAATAAGAGATACAATTTAGCCAAATATATGAACACATGTTAAGAATGATGGTAAACATCAACAACCTAATAAGAGATAAAGGTTAAAATTTGCTAAACAAAACTCAAATCCAAATAATACATAAATACTCATAGGCTTAAATAAATTGATTTGTGTCGTCTTTTATTTTCTTGGGCTTTATATCTTTTATATATATTATTTTGTTAAATTATAATTTTGATATTTATGATTTGAAGAAAATTAGAGTTTTAAATGATAGAAATAGTCTCTACCCCTAATAGCCCTTAAAAAAGGGGAGGGTGCAAATCGAATGACTGAAGGGCCCATACCCATATAATATCCATATACGTAAATTAAACACTCCTAGGTTCATATTATATTTTATTATAGTGATGCCCCTAACCCATTTTCAAAAAACAGAAACATAATACATAAACTAGATAATTAGATGATTACGTGGAGGCACAGGGGGTGGGTGTAGGGAGAGGCTGAAAACCGTGTCCAAGTGTTGCTAGATGATTACGTGGAGGCACAGGGGGTGGGTGTAGGGAGAGGCTGAAAACCGTGTCCAAGTGTTGCCTTCCACACTTGGTCCACGTTGGAGATTGAGTAGCCACACTCGTGCTCCGTCCACCCTTCCATCGCATGCACCACACCAGCAATACGCCATGCGCTCATCACTCTTCTCGCCAGCCAATTCTGTAAGCATTTATTCATTTATAGACTTAAGCATTTGTCTTCAAAAAGTCTAAAATTAATATTTTAAAATTTTATTTCTAATTTGTTCTTCATTGTTTTGAAAATTGAAATATTAACCATTTTCCCCACAGGGTGGACTTGAAATTTAATGTGGTTTACAAAATCCAACCAATAACATTTATTTAGGTTAGAAAAGGCTAATATGACATTCTAATTTACTCTAACCTAATAGGTTAAAGTATATTAAATATTTTATATTCATCATTAATGTAACATGTATTAAGAAATTTAAATTAAGAAGTTTATTCATATATATTTTTTTAAAATAAAACATTTGTGAGAAAATTTGTGTATGGAGCGTTGAACACCCACACTCGTGTTAAATGGAATAGCCTCTTCTATTATAAATACTCTAAATATCTCTTTACCCTATTAAGTTTTTGTTAGACAGTGGTTTGTCTACTTTGAGCCTAAGTTTTCATGTCTTTGTTTTGAGATTCTCCATGGCTTTCCCTAGAGGCCTCATGCCATAAAATGTATTCCTTACTTATAAACTCAGGATCATTTCCTAAATTAGCTAATGTGGACTCACTCCCAACAACGAATTGATGAGGATTACAAGACACTCTGTAAAATACTTGCGTTCTATTTCTTGAGATGAAAACTTAGTAGAGCATAGAAGTATTTATAATAGAGCCTACGCAATATACTCCTACCAAACTCAATCTTTTTGGAAAAAATATCTAGATCTATTCCTTAAAATATCTATATATCTTTATTCTATAATATCTCAAGAAAATAAATATATAATAGGCTAGTATAATTATTGGACTTGACTCTACTATGCTACATAATAGTTTAATATTAGGGAGCACATAATATTTTAATAGTAGAGGAGCATTTATAACCGTAACCAATTTATTTTTAAAATATTTAATCATTTATTATTAAAATTTCTAATTTTTTTCTTAAAATATTCCGTTATCTTTGTTCCTTTTATATATTTTAAAATATATAAGCAATTATCTAGACTTAATTAAGTGGATGATATTTGAACAGAGAGTACCTCGCAGGAGTGGAGATTCTGAATAGAAGGAGGAGCCTTCATAGCAGGGGTGCAGTGGTAGTAGCAGTCTTTGCGTATAACCTTTGGAGGTAACTGTGAGAAGGGAATGAAAGTGGTTCCTTTTGGTGCCTTCAGTTGTTCTTCGTTGGTAACATCATCTCCCACTAACCATATCTGCGTCAATTTATATTTGTTCACATTATCTGTATGAAAAAACAAGAAGAAAATAGGTGAAAAGATTTTTGGAACTCACATTTTGAGAACAGCCTTTTGAAACCATTAGATTGCTCTCAAATTTGGCGTTGGATGATTTGTTGAGCTTCCTCAATTCTTCTTCACGTAACACATCTACCTGCACACAACCAAAATCATAAACTTTCACCTCATTTCACCCAGAAACTATTCAAGTTTCTTCTTTCATGACAAACGCGATTATTATCGTTATTGACTTATAAAACACAAATATAAGAAACACTAACATAAAACATTTTTAATGGACATCAATTGAGAAGAAATTACAAGACATAGAAACTACTGCACTCTGTAGTGCTTGATACTAATTGGATTTCTTGGGATGGAAAAGGTTGGTAGAGTAGAGATCATACAATATATTCATAAAATATCTTAGTATCAACCCATTTTACTATCTGATATCTTTATTCTTAAAATACCCAAATCATTTTATGAAAATATCTAGATATTTTTATTCATAAAATATTTAAATCGTTTCCTTAAAATATATATACAATGGGCTCATATAATTATTGGGTTTGACCTCTTAGGGGTAATGATAATTTAACCTAATAAATATCTAAAAATAAATATATCACAAAAGTGTTAAAAGATATTTAATTATAGAAACAAATTTCATATAAATTTTAATTATTTTACTAAACTTGTTTATGTTTTTTTTTATTTATAATAATAATGAAAGAACAAGAAGCAAATTTGAAACGTAATTCATTTTCTTTTTTCTAATTAAAATGGAAAAAACGATAATATTCTCAAACGGCCCCAGAATAATAATAATAATAATTTTTTCTAATTAAAATGGAAAAAACGATAATATTCTCAAACGGCCCCAGAATAATAATAATAATAATAAAGAAAAAAGAAAGTTGTAGGTTATAATGCAAACCTGAATGCCTCGTTGGCACAGAGAATAAGCAAGAGCACAAGCCACTTTTGTAAGTTTGCCGGTCAATAGAACTTGGGTGGCACATTTGGGGATACTATTGAGAACTACAGCCACGGCCAGGCTACTCCCATCCACCACCCTCACTCTTAGCTTAGGGTTCCTTTGAACATATAGCCCTCCATATATGTTCAGCTCCTCCCCCTGCAATTTCCAATCTTTTGTTGGCGTTCAACTGAGAATTTATTTATTATGATCAGAGATTTGTGAAGAAATGAGCTGATTACCTGATTCAAGAGACCTAAAGTCAAGACTTTACAACCCTTTTGCTCTGCTTCTACTATTGCTTCTTCAATCAAGCTGTTTATTGATTGGTTTTGCCATTGAAACAAGTACTGCAAGTGAGTTCAAAGCTTCATTTATTAGAGAATAAACTATGCATAATAATCTTAAAATAACATGCTTAAAATGGCCAAAAAAAAAATTCAATAAAATTGATTCTACTTATAACACATATGGTTTATTTTAGCCTAGTACATATCGTCGTTAGCTTCAAGGATTTAAAACGCGTATATTAGGGAGAAGTTTTCACACTCTTATAAAGAATATTTTGTTCCCCTATCCGACTAATGTGGGATCTCACAATACACTCCATTCACACTCTTATAAAGAATATTTTGTTCCCCTATCCGACTAATGTGGGATCTCACAATACACTCCATTGGAGGTCCAATGTTCACATTTGCATACCACCCCGTACCTGACTTTGATACCATTTATAACCACTCAAGCCCATTGCTAGTAGATATTATCCACTATGGTCCATTACGTATTACCGTCAACCTCACAGTTAGAGAGAGATTTCTATACCCTTATAAGGAATTTTGTTTTCCTCTCCAACCAATGTAGGATCTCACCCTTAGAGAGATTTCTATACCCTTATAAGGAATTTTGTTTTCCTCTCCAACCAATGTAGGATCTCACCCTTATAAGGAATATTTGTTCTTCTTTTCAATCGATGTGGGATCTCACATTGGTCAAACAGGAGAACACAGTATTCCTTATAAAAATATGAAATCTCTCTCTCGGACGCATTTTAAAATCGTGAGGTTGATGGCAATACGTAACGAATAAAAGTGGACAATATCTCTCTCGGACGCATTTTAAAATCGTGAGGTTGATGGCAATACGTAACGAATAAAAGTGGACAATATCATACTGGTATGTTTGGGTTGTTACAAATGGTATCAGAACTAGACATAGAGCAGTGTGTCGGCGAGGATACTAGGCTCTCAAGGGGAGTGGATTGTGAGATCTTACGTCGGTTGGAAAGTGGAACGAANTTTTAATAGTAGAGGAGCATTTATAACCGTAACCAATTTATTTTTAAAATATTTAATCATTTATTATTAAAATTTCTAATTTTTTTCTTAAAATATTCCGTTATCTTTGTTCCTTTTATATATTTTAAAATATATAAGCAATTATCTAGACTTAATTAAGTGGATGATATTTGAACAGAGAGTACCTCGCAGGAGTGGAGATTCTGAATAGAAGGAGGAGCCTTCATAGCAGGGGTGCAGTGGTAGTAGCAGTCTTTGCGTATAACCTTTGGAGGTAACTGTGAGAAGGGAATGAAAGTGGTTCCTTTTGGTGCCTTCAGTTGTTCTTCGTTGGTAACATCATCTCCCACTAACCATATCTGCGTCAATTTATATTTGTTCACATTATCTGTATGAAAAAACAAGAAGAAAATAGGTGAAAAGATTTTTGGAACTCACATTTTGAGAACAGCCTTTTGAAACCATTAGATTGCTCTCAAATTTGGCGTTGGATGATTTGTTGAGCTTCCTCAATTCTTCTTCACGTAACACATCTACCTGCACACAACCAAAATCATAAACTTTCACCTCATTTCACCCAGAAACTATTCAAGTTTCTTCTTTCATGACAAACGCGATTATTATCGTTATTGACTTATAAAACACAAATATAAGAAACACTAACATAAAACATTTTTAATGGACATCAATTGAGAAGAAATTACAAGACATAGAAACTACTGCACTCTGTAGTGCTTGATACTAATTGGATTTCTTGGGATGGAAAAGGTTGGTAGAGTAGAGATCATACAATATATTCATAAAATATCTTAGTATCAACCCATTTTACTATCTGATATCTTTATTCTTAAAATACCCAAATCATTTTATGAAAATATCTAGATATTTTTATTCATAAAATATTTAAATCGTTTCCTTAAAATATATATACAATGGGCTCATATAATTATTGGGTTTGACCTCTTAGGGGTAATGATAATTTAACCTAATAAATATCTAAAAATAAATATATCACAAAAGTGTTAAAAGATATTTAATTATAGAAACAAATTTCATATAAATTTTAATTATTTTACTAAACTTGTTTATGTTTTTTTTTATTTATAATAATAATGAAAGAACAAGAAGCAAATTTGAAACGTAATTCATTTTCTTTTTTCTAATTAAAATGGAAAAAACGATAATATTCTCAAACGGCCCCAGAATAATAATAATAATAATAAAGAAAAAAGAAAGTTGTAGGTTATAATGCAAACCTGAATGCCTCGTTGGCACAGAGAATAAGCAAGAGCACAAGCCACTTTTGTAAGTTTGCCGGTCAATAGAACTTGGGTGGCACATTTGGGGATACTATTGAGAACTACAGCCACGGCCAGGCTACTCCCATCCACCACCCTCACTCTTAGCTTAGGGTTCCTTTGAACATATAGCCCTCCATATATGTTCAGCTCCTCCCCCTGCAATTTCCAATCTTTTGTTGGCGTTCAACTGAGAATTTATTTATTATGATCAGAGATTTGTGAAGAAATGAGCTGATTACCTGATTCAAGAGACCTAAAGTCAAGACTTTACAACCCTTTTGCTCTGCTTCTACTATTGCTTCTTCAATCAAGCTGTTTATTGATTGGTTTTGCCATTGAAACAAGTACTGCAAGTGAGTTCAAAGCTTCATTTATTAGAGAATAAACTATGCATAATAATCTTAAAATAACATGCTTAAAATGGCCAAAAAAAAAATTCAATAAAATTGATTCTACTTATAACACATATGGTTTATTTTAGCCTAGTACATATCGTCGTTAGCTTCAAGGATTTAAAACGCGTATATTAGGGAGAAGTTTTCACACTCTTATAAAGAATATTTTGTTCCCCTATCCGACTAATGTGGGATCTCACAATACACTCCATTGGAGGTCCAATGTTCACATTTGCATACCACCCCGTACCTGACTTTGATACCATTTATAACCACTCAAGCCCATTGCTAGTAGATATTATCCACTATGGTCCATTACGTATTACCGTCAACCTCACAGTTAGAGAGAGATTTCTATACCCTTATAAGGAATTTTGTTTTCCTCTCCAACCAATGTAGGATCTCACCCTTATAAGGAATATTTGTTCTTCTTTTCAATCGATGTGGGATCTCACATTGGTCAAACAGGAGAACACAGTATTCCTTATAAAAATATGAAATCTCTCTCTCGGACGCATTTTAAAATCGTGAGGTTGATGGCAATACGTAACGAATAAAAGTGGACAATATCATACTGGTATGTTTGGGTTGTTACAAATGGTATCAGAACTAGACATAGAGCAGTGTGTCGGCGAGGATACTAGGCTCTCAAGGGGAGTGGATTGTGAGATCTTACGTCGGTTGGAAAGTGGAACGAAACATTTCTTATAAGGGTGTATAAACTCTCTCTAACAAACTCGTTTTAAAACCATAAGACTGACAATGATACATCACGAGCCAAAACAGACAATACCTACTCATAAAGAAGTGTAAGATCATTAATAAAGCAAATAATAATTAGACAGCACCTGCACATTAAACTTGAAGATGGCCCATGTTTGGATATTGAGCTTTTCAAATCGGTTCCTCTCAACGACAAATGTGCGGGCATAAATCCAAGTCAACAACACTGACCCCATGGTGATGGGATAGAGGAAGTGGAGATACCAGGTGGAAGTGTGGGGCCTGGAAGCCAACTCAGGAAATCCTAGCCGTTGATGGTAGATGGACTCGGGAGTTGTAAGATGAGTCAGATGAACCACGTCAGCAACTTCTTCCTCTCTCTTGAGGGATTTTTGGTACAGAGAATCAGAAGATTTGTCCACTGTGCCGTAGATGTAATCATAGAATGGCATAAAGAGGGAGTAGTTGGTGCGGAATTGGGTGTGATGCAGCGAATGAAACCTGTCATTGTAACACAACTTTTTTAAATAACAACCCCAATTTAATATCTATAACGGTCCTTAAATATTATCAACATATAATATGGAATTAAACACTTTTATATATAAATCTAGAGACTGAGTTTACATATTATAGATAGCAAAATTATAACAATATGTATTTGGATTAAAAAAATTAATCTAAAATCTAAAAACTATAATTGAATACTGTAAAGTTGAGAGATATAGGGATAACAGAGCAAGAAAAATATAAGGGTTCGAGACCTAAGATATAAAAGGGTAAATTTTAATTAAAGTTGAACCTAAATAGATGAATTTGATCCAGTAAAACCCCTCCCAATCAAATATTTTGTTTTAGTTCTTAAACTGGCATGAAAAAAAAAATATATATATTAGTTTTTATCATCTCTAACTACACTTAAAAATAAAATTTTAAGTATTTAATACATAATTTGTCAAAATATATATTAGAATCTTGAAAATAAATAAATATGACAAATAATGATATTTTACATAAATAACTTGAGTTGAAACACAAATAATTAAAAATATAAAAAAAAACTGTCATAATACAACTCATAAACACCTCATATATATTTAATATATGAAAGAAAAAAAAAAAGGAAGAGCAAAAAAGAGTAAAGGAACCAACAGAGAAACATTTTGGAACTCGGTAATGGTCCCATGGACATGTCGGAGGCAGCTGTCTCCGTTAAATGCATGCAAACAAATGTACTTTTTCTTTCCTTTTTTTCGTTAAAAATTTACTCTTTGTTTTTTCAGAGAAGATTTTGTTTGTAGACTTTCATAATGCAGATGGAAACATAATTGTAATGAAAATTATTAGACAAAAGATATTAAAAACAATCAAATAATAAATTTAATTTTCATACCAAGATACTAAAAATATTTTCGAATTATATAGAAATAAGCCTAATAAAGATAATTTTGTTTTTTAAAAAATGTAACAATAATTTAAAATTAGTAACTACTTTTTCAGAAAGTATATTTATTAAAGTTAAAAATTTAAATGAAATGAGATTTAAAGTATATAAACTAAAATTATATTTTAACAATGATAAGATAGACCTCATAATTCAATAATTAAGACATAAAAAATATATATATATTAATTAAAGATATAACATTTTATATAAAGTAAATATGAGGTTCTTAGAAACCAAAATAAAAATTTGAACCTTACTATACATTAATGAAGAAAATTTTCTCTCTATCTGACGCCAAGTAAATAGTATATATCTACTTTATTTGTTATTTTCTAAAGCGATTTCATATTATTTGAGAGATGAGGTCTAAAGTATTAAGGTATTATTAAGAATATTCAATACAAAATTATAATTTACAATAAAATATCATATTTGATATTTTATTATAAGATAAATATGTAGATATTTGACTCTTACCATAGATATCTTTTAATTTATTACTATTTTTATATCCTTAAAATTTATTTAACTATAAACAAGTTTGACATATTTAAGAAAAATATATATATATATTTAGCTAGAACTACTGAAATAAGCAAGCACTACAAGAGAGAGCGACTTACGATGGTGTGTACATCAGGTATTTTAGAGGCGGAAAGAGAGTGAAAACGCGGTTGGGTATGAACTCAAAGTTGCAATGCCCCATGTTGTTCATGAAATCGATGTATGAAAGGTACAAGGCGTATACTCCTAAAGAAGCGGTTCCGTTGAACAAAACTGTCAACATTGGAACGGCGAAGAGGAGGAAATACGCCAAGTGCTCCGCAAATGGATGGATCACAGCTGCCACATTTTCGATCCAGAAGAAATCATGATCAGGCAATATATTTGGAACTTAATTAAATAACTACGGTAATAGAATTCAAAGGAAGAAACCAGAGGAGTATTTGATATAATAGGCCGCTAATAGCTAGGTAAGCGAACTTCAAGAGAAGGAATAATAATGGCTTACAAGTGATCGGCTCTGTAACAATGGAGGAGTGGTGATGGGAATGGTAGCGAGAATAGAGGTAATGATGGTGCAGAGCTCTGTGAAGCCAGTAATACAGAAACTCCACTGGACCTGCGTGTAGCAGAAATGTAATAACCGCTCCATCTGTCCTCCATAGAGGTAGCTCACGACCTTTCGACGTCAAATTAGCGACTAAGTAAAACAAGAGTCCATTCAACAAAATTTGGTCGTCCCTATCCAGGAATTAAGGGAGGAAAATCAAAATAAATAAACCGCCATTTTTATCAAATGCTTGTTGGAAACTTCGTGCAGTTTATACTATATTGCAACACATAAATGTTAGGAAGGGAATGGAAATACTGACCAATTCCTTTCTCGATCGACTTGGTCGAATTCGAGGCCCTTGTCCACGATCCGAGCATTGCCTTTAGCAGTTCGATGACGAGAGAGAGTTATCCATATCTGGTTATGAATCATTCTCCACAAAAGAAGCGGGATAATAACAAGACTGGATGTATCTCTCTCTGTTTCATCCTTTACCACGTACTGGTAGATGCTGTAGATAAATCCAGGTGCCAAAATCACGTACTGCAACCAAAAAATGCACAACGTCATTTCGCTCAGTCGATTGAAATAGTTATACACATAACTCGCAAACACATTTAGAATGCTCGTGAATTCTCGTTACAACACAAATCTAAACAAGAAGAGCAAAACCTCGAGAAAAAAAAAAATTAATAACAATCTAAGCTAAAAGTACAGCATCTTCGGCAAGTGTCGATCATCAGAAGTTAATTTCAGACGGAACATACTATCATCTATGTAGCATTTTCAAAAACAGACAGCGAACAAGAGATGCAATCAAACAGAGAAACATTCTGCGACAAAATCGCCATGAACGACGGCATCTAAGGTGCAAAATGTGGCTGAAAATGAAATTATAGCGACATACATAGCGAAACAAGAAGACAAAAAAAAAAAAGGAAAAACAGACACGAAAGGTACCTTGAAGCTTCCGAGAGGCGTCCATGGCCAATCGGTGAGGATTCCCGGACTGGAAGCCATGAATGCAGATGCTCACTCTGCTCTGGAATCTGTTCTGATTTTGTGACGGTTGCTGAAATCCCCTATTGCTTTCTACCACTCCCTTTATAACGGCCAATACGTGTCTTTGCTCAATTTCGTAATTGGTCCTCTTAGTTTCTTTTATTTCCTAAAAGTGTCCCTTTAATTCTATAAATTACAGTATTTGCCCACTATATCACACGCATATACATTAAAATTTTCAAGATGTCACGCATAATATTCCTTCGAAAAAAGAAAGGCTCATTTTGATATTTACATTAAAAATATATTATATAGTTGATTGGACAGCTGATTTGTTGAGCTGCCCGTGCTGCCCCGCTTCTTATTGCCGGACGGTCAGCTCTTGCCCTTCATTTGTCAGTCATCATTTTTCACCTTTCTTCTTATAAGATAATTTACCAGCTGTCCATTTACCGCTCTAATTAATCTTACCGTAAAGGTAAAATTTCGATGGTCGTGAAAGTAAATATGGTATGTTTCGTACTTCTCCTCAAGGCTTTAAAACACGTCTATTAGAGGAAGGTTTCCACACCCTTATAAACAGTAGTTTGTTCTCCTCTCTAACCAATGTGGGACATCACAATCCATAATGAGACGGTGTGCTAGTAAGGAAGCTGGGCCCCAAAGAAGGTGGATTTGGGGGCAGTCCCACATCAATTAGAGGAAGGAAAGAGTACCAGCGAGGATGCTGAGTCCCGAACGGAGGTGGATTGTGATGTCCCATATTGGTTGGGGAGGAGAACAAACAACCATTTATAATGATGAGGAAACCTTCTCCTAGTAGACGAGTTTTAAAACCTTGAAGGGAAACACGAAAAGAAAAGCCTAAAGAGGACAATATCTGGTAGCGGTGGATGTGAGTTGTTACAAATATTTTCTTTTTTTTTTTTAGAACATATTATTAATGGTAAAAATTAATATAATGAATTTTTTTTATGAAATTACATTAAATTGTGAGAACTAATATTCTAACATTTTTACTTTTATTTTTTAATTGAAATAATAAAAATACCTATAAATATTTTAAAAATATCAACTTAAAAAGTTTTATAAATACTCTAATTAAAATTTAAATATTATCAATTGGATATAAATATAAATTTAAAGATTAAATTTATAATTTAATTTAAGAGTTGTTGCATAAGAAAGGAAAATACAGGTGTCATCGTTATAGAGCTTGTACAATTGGGCATTAATTAGGGCTGGGGTAGAAAGCTTTGGATGGTGACTGGGCTTGTCGGTCAGCGGTCAGCGGTCAGTGGTCTGTTCCAAACCAGGCAAGTTCATAAATACCCACAACTTCCACTGCCCGAGTTGATCATTCAATTCAATTCCTGACCGTGAGACAGCCTCTTTTCCAAATTTAATCTTCTTTTGCTTTCAATTTAATTTTTTTTCCCAAAAAATAAATATTCAAAATATGGCTATGAGATATTATTTAGCAAAGTTTGATGGAGATGGTAAAAGCTAAAATTCAATGCTTACTTCCACGGAGCTAAAACGAGTAAATATTTATTGAATCTTTAATTCCGAGTAGTGTGGTTATAATTTTTTTTTACTTTTTACGACTTGCTGACAAATTTGAACCTATTAAGGCAAACGACTCTTCGTGCATCTTTATATTGACATTATCCTTTATTGATATCACTTCTCGTGACTTTACTTTTAGTTTTACGGATAAGATCTAATATCAGTAAGGATAATTTTACTCATTTATATACACGTTTTCTCTTTATTTCCCGGCATTAAAAAAAAAAACAATCTTCAACCTCTAAAATTGTTTCAAAAGTTAAGAGTGTTTGTGAGTTTGGTTGGTTCGAATTGGAAACTTTTTAGACCTATCTAATTGTTCGAATTGTAAAATTTTCAACCTAAACGACTTTATTGATTAATGAACTAAACCTAACTCAATGATAATTTTGTGGGTTAAGTTCGTTCGGGGTAACGAAAATACCTCGAGCCAATGTTCGAGTATTAGGCGCTACGGCGCTGAAGTAACCTATGTCATACTCCCAAGAAAAGCTCGAATGACCTTCAACAAAAGGGTACCTGTACCCGAAACCGACACATGTGGGTAGGTAGAGAATACCTAGGGGCACGAGACAACTCTCTCTAAGAAATTCGGCAAAAAATATATATTTTAAAATTAGTTATAAATTCGAGTTGATTCAGTTCATAGTTTTAGGAGAACGCATAAATCAATTAGGCAAGCTATCATTTATTTATTTGAACTCAATCCAACCCAAATTAGCTCATAACCAAACTCAAACGGTAGTACCATTTAGATTGACCACATTTTTTCGGAGGATTAAATTTTTAACCTAATTTTGGGGTAAGGGACCTCCTTTGAATTAGAAACTAAATTAGGTTCCCCCACAAACACCAACACATAGCTATTACCTAAAAACATAGACATAGTACATAAAATGAAACTACATAGAGCCATAGGCAATACTACTTGACATCTTCAAAGGCTGAAACCCGTGTCGAAGGCTCGCCATCCAAACTTGCTCGACGTTGAACATAGCGTTGCCGCACTCGTGCTCCGTCCACCCTTCCATAGCATACACCATCCCAGCAACGCGCCATGCACTCATCACTCGTCTCGGTAGCCAATTCTGCAAGCCATCGATTAAATCTATTATCACTTTACGAGACTTCGAAAGTAAATCTCGACATCGATGTCTCGAGCACGACGTTTACCTCACACGAGTGCACGTTTTCGATCGAAGGGGGAGCTTTTAATGCAGGGGTGTAGTGGTAGAAGCAATCTTTGCGTATAATCTTTGGAGGGAAGTGTGAAAAGGGAATGAAAGTTGTTCCTTTTGGAGCTTTCAGCTGTTCTTCATCTGTCACTCCATCTCCCACCAACCATATCTGCATGAAAATTAAAGAATTATTAAAAATTTAATTTTAAGTCAACTAAAAAAATAATTAATAATTAATATATATACATTTTGAGAAGAGCCAGTTGAAAGGACCAAAGAGCCCTCGGATTTAGAAGCTTTGTTGAGCTGTTTGTAGTGATGTTGATTCAACACAGCAATTTGGATGCCTCTTTTGGAAAGGGAATGAAAAATTGCAAGGGCCAACTTTGTAATTTTTCCTGTGAGGAGGACTTGGGTTGCAAATTTTGGGATATTATTCAGCACTACACCCACAGCCAAGCTACTCCCATCCACCACCCTCACTTTTAGTTTCGGGTTTCTTTCTATATAAAACGCTCCATGTTTGTTCAGTTCCTCGCTCTGCAATCATCATATATACATATACTCTTAGATAAAACAAAATATACGTTTTTCAACTAATATCTTATTGTTTGAAATATTTCATTTTAGTCCCTAACATTTTAATATTTTTCCATTTATTATCTACTTAACTAAATTGCAAAAATACTAAAAAATTGGGACTAAAAGACATATTTTAGTGGAATTTTTATGATGAGTTATTTATTTATTTATTATTATTTATAAAAATAAATAAATAGAATAGAATAAATGAATAATCTTGCCTGATTCAAGAGGCCTAACGTCAAGACTTTACAGCCCTTTTGATCAGCCTCGATTATGGCTTCTTCAATCAAGTTGTTTATTGGTTGCCATTGAAGCAAGAACTGCAGAACATTTATTAGATATTAATTAATTAATAAATAATCTAGAAATTAGAATATCATTATTCATAAATCGAGATTAATTATAATATAATATATTTATTTATTTATTAAGATTTTTGTCACCTGAAATTGAAACTTGGGGATGGCCCACGTTTGCATTTTGAGCCCATCAATCTTGTTCCTGTCGACGACAAATGTACGGCCATAGATCCACATAAGCAGCATGGAGGCCACGGTGATGGGGGACAGTAAGCAAAGATACCACGTGGAGGAGTAGGGCGTGGAGGCCAGCGTGGCAAATCCTAGCCGTAGATGATAGATGGATTCGGGAGTAGTGAGATGAGTCAGATGGACCACGTCAGCAACTTCTTCCTTTCTTTTGAGGGAGTTTTTGTAGAGAGAATCTGAAGATTTATCGTATGTGCCGTAGACGTAGTCGTAAAAGGGCATAAATAGGCAGTAGTTCGTTCGGAATTGCGTGTGGTGCAACGAATGAAACCTGCCATTATAACAATTATTTTTATAATAATAATAATAGTCTCTTTCTCGTTCTCATACCAAAACATCTGCTTACAAATTTCACTATATCTTTCTTTCATGCCACTCCACCAAGAACATGTAACATCAAACTCTGATATTAGATATGGTCAACCTCACAATTTTAAAATAGGAAGGTAAAAGTTTTTAGATTCTTATAAAAAATATTTCATTTCTTTCTACCATCGATATGATATCTAACCATTCACCCTCTTAAAGATCCAACATCTTGGCTGACACGCTGCTTGGTGTCTGACTGTGGTAGAACTAGAGTTTGGAGAGAGAGAGACTTACGATGGAGTATAGACGAGGAACTTGAGAGGAGGAAAGAGTGTGAAGAGGCTATTAGGGATGAACTCGAAGTTACAATGACCCATGTTGTTCATGAAGTCGATGTAAGTAATATAAGCAACATAAACTCCCACAGACATTGTTCCAGAAAACACTGCCGTCATCATGGGTATCGCGAACAGGAAGAAATATGCCAATTCTTCTGCAAATGGATGAATCACAGCTGCCATGGAAGAATGATTACTCCAAATTATTATATTAGTTAACCTTACTGACTTACAAGTGAGAAAGGCTTACAAGTGATTGGCTCTGTAACAATGGAAGAATGGTGGTGCGAATGGTAGCGAGAGTAGAGGTAATGATGGTGCAGAGCTCTGTGAAACCAGTAATACAGAAACTCCACTGGACCTGCGTGAACCAAAAACGTAATAACCACTCCATCTGTCCTCCATAGAGGAAGATTTGAAGCTTTCGGCAGAATATTGCTCACAATGTAGACTAGAACTCCAGTCAACAGTATTTGATCGTCCCTGTCCATAAAACCTTGTTCATAAGAAGCTGATTCAATTCTGTACGAACTAAATTCATGAATACCGCTTTTCAGGTGTGTGTTTCTTAAGCATCTTCCTAACAAATCTGAAAACTATCTTTCTTTGAGAAATAGTGAGTTAATGATTTCTTTGTTGCGTGTTAAGTTTTGAAAATTAGAAACATAGAATTCACAGATTTGTTTTTGGTTTTGAAGTTTGATTAAGAATTTGAATGATTCCAACCGAACTCTAAATAAATTGAAGGGAAGCAAAAACAAATTTCGAAAACTAAAAGAGGAAGTTATCGAACTAATAGATTTAAACGATTCAATAATCTGAATCTGGATTGTGTGAAGAAATGGATTGGAAATACTAACCAATTTTTTTCTCTATCGACTTGATCGAATTCCAAGCCCTTGTCGACAATAAGCGCACTGCCTTTAGCAGTTCGATAGCGAGACAGAGATATCCATATCTGGCTATGAATCATCCTCCACAAAAGAAATGGAAAAATCGTAAGGTATGAAATGTCTCTCTCGGTTTCATCCTTCACGACGTAATGGTAAATGCTGTGAATCACTCCAGGCGCCAAAATCAAATACTGCAAACAAGAACTCCGTGTGATTACGCTACTGTGATTTCAACAGACAGTCGGAATGATCGTAGTTTCTCATTACGATGCTCATTTAATTGACGAAAAATTAACACACAACAGGTAAATAAGTGATTTAGCGATATTCGATCACAAGTTCATTTCAACGGAACTCGATTTAGCGTAATGTTCGAAGTCGCATTTTAACAAACAGTTGGCGGACAAGAAATGCGATCAAACAGAGAAACATTCTGCGATAAATCACCATAAACAACGGCGTGGAATATGAAGAAAACATAATGGCAGAATACATAGGAAACGAAGAAGCAAGATAATAAGAGAGAGAGGACATGGAAGATACCTTGAAGCTTCCAAGAGGCGTCCATGGCCAATCGGTGAGAATCCCCGGAGTGGAAGCCATTAATGCAAGAGCTGAAGCTCACAATACTACTGCTAGGCTTCCAATTCTACGTTCCATCTCCTTCAGAGCACCTCTTTTTATAGCAGCCAATCAGTGGTCCACTCTTCAATTTCTACGTGCTTTCATGATTTTTTTTCCTTTCCGAAATCGACCATCTGAACATGAAACAGAGAAATTAAAGTTTTCTTTCTCTTCGATCGTGTTTAACGATGATGAATTTATTTCATTTTGGTACCTGTTGTGATCCACACCATTATTCTATTTTCGTCTTTCAAACTTTTATTTTTTTTCTAGATTAATAAAAATATTCATGCATTTTTTACTTTCTTTCAAAAATATCATTAAATTTAAAAAAAATTTAAAAACTATATCCTTAAATTAAAAAAAATAATAATAAATACATTTAAATTTTATTAATACCCTTTAGTTTTCTTTATATTAAATAAACTTTTAAAAATAGTATCGATACACTTAATATTTATAAAAAAAATTAAAAAATATTCGTCTCATAAAAATATTTTTTTAATTTTTTAAAAAATAAAAGAAATTAATAAACTCTTAAAGGGTATTTTTAAAATTATTCTGAAAATTTAAATGTATTTTTTCGAAAATATTTTTGTATGAAAAATATGGATTTAATTACACTATTACTTGGTCTTAATACGTGGGATTTTTTTAAATAAACTATTAATTGAAGTTAACGTTTTGATTTTTAGTTTAAGAATATAATTTAACCTTTCAATTTTTAATAATATTTTTAAAAATAATCGACATATATTTTTATTAATTAAACGTTAATTATATATATATATATATATATATATATATATGTATATATATATTAGTTTATAATTTCAAATATATATGAACTAAAATGATGATTTTATTAAACTTTTAACTTTATAAACAAAAATAATAATTAAATTAAAAATGATTCGAAGGGTGATTAATGATTCTTAGGTCAAATTACTATTTTAGTTCGTAGTCCTATTATTCTGAACCAAACAATTTTATTTATTTATTAAATAAAATAGTATACTGTATATAAATTGAATATATTTTTTTAATAATTTAATTAATGTGTTAATTGTTGTTATATATAATTCAATTTTTAATAAATTTTTAGTTTTAAATTTTTTAATATAAATTCAATGTTCTATTAGGGTCGAGATGTTCACGAGGCGAGCAGTGACGGGAAAACCTTTATTGTCTCCATCTCTTGATTTAATCTTCATAATTCCTCACGAAAATCGAGTTCCCACACATATTTTTTTCTATTATATAGATATATTTAAAACGTTATTCTCGTTCTCAAGCTGAGAAATGAAGATTTTCTATTTTATTTGGGGGTCCAACAATATTTAATATAAATAATTGACGGATTATTTTTATTAATTTAGGATGGTCCCATCGCCATTTACACCAATTATTGATAGCCATTGCCATTTTCTTCTTCTTATTTTACTTATTTAGTTTGAAATATATATTTTAATTTAATTAAATTAAATTATATATATATTTAATACGTTGATTTTATTGGTATAAAAAAGGGAAGTTATTGATTAATCGTATTAATCAATGGCACATATTAATGATTAAAATTAATTTGTAATTGTGAATATATATATATATATACACACACATATTTATTTATTTATTTTTATAATTGCTTGAATATTTTTATGGCACTGTTAAAATATGCTTTCAATTAAAAAAATTTATTTGTTCGGTCACTTTTTTTTCGATTTCAATTGGAGAAAGAATTTGACTCATAAATTTTTGTAGAGCGATCTTTCGATGACCTGTTCTCTATATATTATTTAAAATTTTAAATTATTAAAGCGTAATTTCTAGAGAGATAACTTAATTCTAGCATATAGTATACTAAATTAAATGCACGTGAAATTCAAATAAACATTTTTGGTGAAGAGAGGAAGAAACTTTAGAAACCTCTTTCAACTAAAGTCGGTCATCATTTAATGTGAAAATTGCATTACATAGGAATGAATTTATGATGATGGTGACATTGAATTAAAACGCTAGGGCAATATAGTGACCTAAATCTAGAATTTGATAACGACATGTATTTAAAATAATAATACCGAGCTATATAAAAAAATTATATCTGTGTTTCGATTATTATCAATAATTAATATTTTATTGAAGTATTACTCTATTTAAAATATAACTTTAGATTTTTGCCTCGAATTAAATAAAAAAATTATGGGTGGATTAGTTATTTATTTTAAAAAATAAATAAAAATGTGATTGTTTTTTTGTCATAATAATTTAATAAAGATATTATTAGATATTAAAAACAAATTTCAATACAAATATCCAAAATAAATATATTTTAAAAAACATTTATATTATTTATGAATTTAAATAACTAATTTGGGGCTTATTTTGTATACTTTTTTACACATTTAATTTTAGAAAAAATATTTATAAAAAAATTGGAATAAAATAAATTTAAAATTTCCCAATTTTCCAACGTGGTCCCGTTTTAAGAACTTTCCAACTCTTTCACGCCGAGTGGAAACCAATTCTAATATATATATATATATTATTTATTTTATTAGTTAATTAACCACGTGAAAATGATAACATTCATATCGAACCAACCTATCAAAGACCACATTTATGGTGGCTTGATGAGACGGAAAATAGAAGGGAGCTAGTTAGAGAACGCCCTCTTTATTCGATTCAATTTAGAAAGTTTTAAAATTTAAGCGTAAAAAATATCCATTGAATTTGGCTATTCATATCTGATTTAAAATATTAAAAATTTAAATTAATTAACCAGGTAAAATGTAGTTGTCCACGTGGAATTATTATATAATTTTTTTTTCGTTTAAAATTTATGACAATTTCGAGTATAATGCCATATAAATATATTATCATAATGTAAGAGATATATATATTCCAAATTATAAAGATTAAATTGAAAAAAATAAATTCCTTTCTATTGGGCTTGAGGAAAGCTCGGTTATTCTGGATTGGGCTGGGCCGTTGGCCCAGCAGTGAAAACGCTAAATTAATAAAAAAATATATATATTTAAATTTTAAAGATATTTTATTTTATTTTTATTTTTTTAGTTTAAGAATATTATTATAAATATTTAAAACTTTGTTTAGACGAAATTTAAATTAAGTAATATTTTTATTAATTTAGTTATATAATAAAATATATATTACGTTTTGGCGGGAAACGATAGAGCGCGAAAAGGAATTGTTCGTCATTGTGCTTCACGGCAAATCCTCAGCCAACTCAGTATCAGTTTTTGAAGGATTTCTCTCACTCTCACGGTTTTTCAATCTCCTGCACTTACCGCCTTACCGTCGATGTTCCAATCTGCACTGTTGTTTCTGTAATTTTAGGTTTGTCTCTGATTCTTCAACTTTTTGTTTCTTCAATTTCTCTCGAAGATGATGAATGTAATGACAAGAGAGGCGCATTTGAAAATCTGATTTCAAGCTTGCTGAGGCATTGATTTTGATGATCGAACTCGATATATTGCGTCTGGTAGCGTTAATTTGATGGATTTGTGTTGCATATTTGTTCTAGGGTTTCGATTTTGTATTGGATTGATTTATGTTACGATTCTTCTTTTCCCTCTTACATTTTTTTTTTCCAAACAATTCTAGGATAGGGCAACCTAATAATCCTTCTGTCTCGGTCACTCTGCTATTCTGTTTTCTTCCTTCAGCCTCCATTTCTATACATTCAGATTCCACGAGCAGCTGACACTTCAATTCTTTTAGCGGAAATAGGGTGGGCGTATACTTTGATTAATGGAGTTTTAATTTTCTATATACTCGAATGCCGTCACATAGATTTATAAGGTCAATTGGTTTAGTTAGATACTCAGAATTCAACCTATACTGTGAATTTGTAACCGTCCAAGCTCACCTCTAAAGTAAAATATTGGTTAGTGGTGGGCTTGAGCTATTACAAATGGTATCAGAGCCAGGTTATCGGACGGTGCGAGGTACTGATCAGAGTAGGGCTAAACTTCCTCCATAATAGACACGTTTTAAAACTTTAAGGGGAAGCTCATAAGGAAAAGCCCAAAGACGATAATATCTTCTAGCGGTGGTGGGCTGTAGTAGAATTCGATCGGTATCTTTCATTATATATCCAAATATTGTGGGAGTCTTCACATGGTTGAGGTAGTGATTGTGGCTTTCTGTATGTGCAATATTCAGTGTTTAGGATAGCTCATGAATGTGCAAAGCTGAGATCAATCCGTGTTCAACAGACGTAAGTGGTTAGAAACTTAGATATAGACCATTTAATTCATTTTGGTTCTTTTTTTGAAGATGGAGCAGCAAAATCCGCATGGGAGAGGAGCCGATGCAGTTTTAAATCTTCAGCCAAACTCCTCGGTTGCTATTGCATATCACTCACTTTTTGGTCCACATGATGATTTAGTTCTTCTTGAGGTTGATGAAAAGCTTCTGGAAGAAGTTCTCCACGAACGGTACATAAAGCCGATCATAAGTGACTTACTAACATGTTAGAACTTCTTGAATTGATCTAACTTTGGTGGTTTCGTGTCGCAGAGTAAGCATCAGAGGACAGGCAGAAGAAGAAGCAGTCTTTTGCACGAAGTCGAAAACATATGGAATAAAATATGTAGGAACGTCCAATTCTGTACTCCTCATACCCCCATCAGGTCGATCGGAATACTACGAAAATGAGCTAGATAGCCAGGGGAATGACAGCACTAAAGAAGTTGTTCCTGTGATTAAACTTGCTCCAGGAATCATGGAACTTGTTGAGATTGCTCCCAGAATTGATAAGCTTAAATTGCTTCTTTCAGAGAATCCTTACAGCTTAGCTGATGAGTGGGAAAGCGAAGAGATGGACAAATGTGAGAAGCAAATGTATAATTGGAATGATCTTTTAGACAAGGTTCAGGCTAGTGATGATGAACTGAAAGCTGGATTACGAGCACTTTCCGCAGTTGAGATTGATGGATACTGGAGACTTGTGGACGAAAAATACATGGACTCCATGCTACAAATGCTCTTGAATAACAGAATTTTAAACGACTGGTCTCTTGATGCACTTGATGAAGGTGTACTCATGAAAGTGATGAAAATGGATGGTTTTTCTGAAACACTCGTGCATCATTGTCTCGACGTCTATGGCGATAAACTCGAAGGAGATGAGGGGAATAGCTGTTTATGGAGATTGGATGAGAAACGTGTTTGTGTGCATTTTGCAAGAGAAGTCTTGAGGAAAGGAAAGATGAAGGTGGAGCATTTCATGGATGAATGGCAAAAGAAAATCCCTGTTGAAATGCATGCTAACTTTGACATGTTGGAAGGTGAAGTTCTGACCGAGAGGCTCGGGGTCGAGACGTGGGTTCGTGGTTTTAGAGTATCTTCATTGCCATTGAATCCTGTTGAGCGTTTCTCCATTTTGTTTAGAGAACGACCAAAATGGGAGTGGAAGGATCTGCAGCCATACATTAGGTTTGTTTGAAGTGTTTTGTTCTTGGTTATTTGTTACTTATGCATGGAAACCTTTAGCAACTATGATTTGATTTTCAGGGATCTTACAGTTCCAGGTCTTTCATCTGAAGGTTTACTTCTCAAATACACCCGACGAACTCAACCGAACCCAGAAGCCGAACCCGTGTTCAGTGCAAGATAGAACATGTTATGCCTTAGCCACACTTGTATTCAAAGTCCTGATAGCTTGCATTTCAATGAAGCGATCGGCTTGATGGCGATCCTGACGATGTTATATGAAGTCCCCTTAACTTTGCAATGTTTAGGAGTTCATTACTTCATGAAAAGAGATCCAAAGGCTCCATATTCTCAGAAATCCCTGTTAAAACATGAGATGAGTATAACGAACTTAATTCTTACAATGATTTTTTAAATTATGTACTCATATACTAACTATAGCTTTAGCCAATGCTTACCGTCTTTGGTATCCTTACAAAGCTTGTTTCCTAGACCCTAACCACTCCTACTCTAGGGTGTATAACTAAACCCCTCGTACCATAATGTAGTATATCTTTAACCTATGCTTCTGGCACGTGAGTCAACTTGCTCTATAACAGGCTCGTGAGTAAGATTCGTATGTATGGAGGTAACTTGTGCACTATACACAGACTAGTACTTTGACCGCTTGCACCCCATATGAACTCTTTACAAGGTGTACCCTCATAGCATACCCTCTACATGCAACATTGCTGTTCGCCGGATCTGATCGTAGGTTCGAGTTCAAGTGCCCTCATCATTTTTATTATTAATATTTAATATCGAAATCATATGATAACAAAGCCAATTCTGTCCTATCTTCGTCTTTATTTTATATTTTAAATTTTTTATTAAAATAGTTATGTATTGATGTTGGACACTCGCTGAATGTCTGATTGCTTGTTCTTCATAGAATGGGATCAGTGGGTGAGGGTTTTTATTATTTTTATTTTTATTTAATCATTTTTAATTACTATTATTATTATAAAATATCGGGTTGAGGTTAGATTATGCATTAAAAAAAAACATATGATATAAAAGGTAAATTTTTATTAAAAAAATAGATTTGAAACTTAAGTTTGGAATTTAGCAACCCATCAATACGCATACTTTTGACCCATAGGTTTAGACTTTGAAGTAGGCTCGTTGATAGAGAGATTTCATTCCCATAAAAACTCTTCTGGCACTTATTTCATTTTTCATCTCACAAAATTCTTCATTTATTTTTCTCGTTTATTATTATTTTAAAAATAATTATTAAAATTTTTTATTATTAAAAGTTGATAAAAACTATATAATAAATCAATATATTTAATTAGGTTATATCAATATAATTTTAAAAAATTCAAAATTTAATATTACAATATACGCTTCCACTTGGAATGCTCAACTAATTTAAATATTACCATTAGAGCCTCAAAATTAACTATTTTTTTAATATAGCAAAAAGAAAAACATAATTAATATATATATTATTTCTAATGTGTTGAAAATAATATTTATATTAAGCTAGCAGGGATAGGGATGGAGAACATAATCCCGATCATGTATTCCTTTATCTCCAGGAAAAAATGTTCCCCACTTTCTCCCCATTGTCTGTTTAAATCTCTCCCATCATCTGTTTAAACATGGAATCTCTTCCCGTTTGGGGGCGGGTAAACGTGGAATCTCCTCCTTAGAATGAGGTTTTACAATCCCAATTCTGCGAGTAAAATAGACATCTCTAATTGAAGGATTAAATATAATGTTGGTAAGTTTAAAATTTAAAATAAAATATGTATGGAAAGTTTAAAGGTCAAAATGTAACGCTTAAAGTAACCAAATGGAAATTATGTGCAAAAATTGTTTTATAGTAAATAAGGGATCGGTGGAAGTTATTTTGAATTAATACATCTCAACCAACATGATGTAAATAGTGGGATTGTTGGTTACATTAAAAGAATACCATCCCTCGGAATTAAATGGAAAACTTAGAATTTGTTTGTTTGTTTCGTTTTATTTGGAAGGAAAATCCGAATATGATCGATCAACTAAGTTACTTGTATGAAACGGAATCGAGATTCTTAACTGGGTCACTGCTTTGTAAACTTAATTTCAAGTGAAGTAGGGACCACACGAACACTGTTATAGGAGCTTCCATTTCGTAACAGCTAAAATATTCGAAATAAGAATTGCAACGTTGATTGATCGACCAACTATGTTACTTGTATGAAACGAAGTCAGAGACTTTTAACTGGGTCAACATTTCGTAAACCTGGTTTCAGGTGAAGTAGGGACCACATGAACACCACTATAGGAGCTTTTGTTTCTTAATAGCTAAAATATTTGAAATAAGAATTATTAAAGTCATTGACCGACCCACCAAGTTACTTGTATGAAACGGAGTCAAGACTTCTAACTGAGTCAATATTTCGTTTTTTTTTTTTTTTTTTTTTTTTTTTTTTTTTTTTTTTTTTTTTTGTAGAAAGCTTGACCAGCGAGAAAGGGACGAGACACCGATAGACACGAAAACCTAGTTTCAAGTGATGTAGGGACCACACGAACACTATTACACAAGGTGATGGACACTGGACATGGTGGTCATACCTTGGAGATTTCTCTCCTCATTTCAAGTCACTTGTATGAAACGGAATCGAGACTCTTAAATGAATCACGATTTCGTATTCTCTCCTCATTTCAAGTCACTTGTATGAAACGGAATCGAGGCTCCTAACTGAATCACGATTTCGTACACCTAATTTTCAGTGAAGTAGGGATCACACGAACACCGATACACAAGTGACAAACACTTGTAATACATGGTAGTGATACCTTGTAGATTTCTCTCCTCCTATCCTCTCCTCTTTTCCTTCTAACAAACTCCCCATTTTGGAGAATAATAAGCCTAAACTGAACTAAATGCAACAACTCACCAAAAAAAATAATAATAAATAATTAAAAAAATTATTTAAAACACACATAATATTTACCTTGAAATTCTTTTTTGGAGAAAAATACAACTTTCTTTATTGAAATTCAGTTAAGTATTAATTAAATAGCCATATATGATTAAAAAATTAATCACATTTTAAATATTTTATTATTTATTTATTTTCATATGATTTTGACCGAACAAAAATATTAATCTCTATCTTCTAAATAAGCACTAAATAAGTTCGTGACTATCGACTATTTTTTAATTTATGTATTGAAAAACTCGAGTGGTATATAAATTAATTAAATGTAATTAACTATATATTTAAATTAAATAATTAAATGTAATTCAGCCCTTTTTATTATTAAAAAATGGTTATAAAATAATTAAAATAGGTGAAAAAGGTGAATTATAAAATAAAAAAATTAAAATGGTTTAATTTAATTGAATTTAAAAATATCTATTTACTCGGACGTTTATTTCTTTTAGCTAAAAGGGTCAACGATGGAGATTATATTTTTTATTCTCGGCCCACTTTAGTGTTTAATTAATAAATAAATATTTAATTAAATATTGAAATTATTTTTTTAGAAATTCTAATAAATACTATATTATATATTGAAAAATATAAAAAGAGAATTAGGGCATCCATTTATACATACCACCGATTCCAAATCTCAAATTCTTAACTTTCAATCTCTCTCTCTCTCCTCCTTGCTTCTCTCTCTAGTGGCAGCCATGGCTGCAAATTCGAAGCTTTTCTTTGCCCTAATAACACAGAGGAGCAATAATAATATATAATATTATTATTATTGTTATTATTATTATTATTATTATTATTATTATTATTAGCTTCCTTCTTCCAAGTTTAAATTATTCATCCACCATGCCTATCAATCAGCTTCAGTTCTTCAACTTTCTCTCTCTTCCATGTGAGTTCTTCTCTCTCTAAATTTTATATTTTAATTCTTAATTTTCTTCACAAATATTTAATTTTGAAATAAAGTGAATTTTTATTTAATCATTATTAAAAATATTATTAGAAATAAAGTGAATTTTTTCATTAGAATAAGCCTAAATTCTATTTTTAAAATAACTAAAATATTAATAATAATAAATTAATCCGTGATAAAGACGTAATATGTAGACAGTTACTTCGAAATACTATTTTAATATGAGACAGTACTCTCGTCTTGTCCTATAAATATTATGTCTATGTTCTTTCGAGTCAAAAATAATATATTAATAATGTAAAAATATTATAATTTACAATTTTATTTGTATTTTATGTTTAAAATTTAATTCTTTATTAAATAGAGTATTTATTGTTTAATATTAAAAGTATATATATTGGCTTAATATAATTTAAAATTTTAAATGCTTATCAAATAAAATTCAAAATTAAAATATTTATTAGGGGATTTTAAAATTAAAATACTAAATAAACATAAATTTCATGTTTATCTAGACCCTAAATTCCCTTGATCATTGTTGTCTTTTTCTTTCATTTTCTTCTTCTATTTTTTCGTCCTCACCAACCACGACTATCAAAATTGAAATGAACACACAATCAAACATGAATTGGACACCTCCTCGTGATTTAGGTCACTAATAGGTTAAAATCTTGGTAGAAAAATCGTAAGTTGGTCGAGTCTTGTGTGGACCTTGCTTAAAGTCGTTGAGAACCTACGAATTTGGTTTATTGGTAGTTGTAAGTCTTAGATCTTGCATCACATGGACTCGTAGGACATGATGATCTGGTCTATGCCACTTCAACTTTGAATATGGGTTTGATCTTTGAAGGTATTTGTGGTGAAATTATATAGTTAATTTTCCAATAGTTAGGAAGGTTTAGACGTGCAGAATAGGAATATATATATATATATAATATTTTAATTTAAAGCTTAAAAATGTATTTTTAATTAAAAAAAAACTTGAAGCTTAAAATTATTAAATTTGAAAAATCAAAATTGGTAATGCAACTAAATAAAAAAAAATATGGTTTTACTTAATTTTTTAATTAAAAAGTGTTGACATAAATATAATATCATATTATTATTTATCTTTTTAAAGAAAAAAGGTTTCCTTTTAAAAACAATCTTTTTTAAAAAAATGAAAATTCCCTTTTTCTCCAAGCGGCCCGTTGCGTAGTTAGTAGAGAATAATTCTATGGGGGGACCACATAAATAGAGCACATGTGGCAAAGCCGACGTCGTCGTTTTGATGTCCCTTCAAAATTTTAGTTGGGCCACTAATGATTAGACAAGACCGAATCCATGGCCCATTTCAAATAACAGCTTATGGGCCTTCAAAATAAATGGCCCATTTAATACAGCGAGTCGTCTGTAGCTCACCGAGTTTGGGGCACAGTCCGTATGACAGATTGATTTTTTATTTGTAAATTTTAAAATTTTAAATTCTGATTTGTTCGGTAAATCTGTTGCAGTGAAATGGCAACGGCGGGAAGTTGATTCTTTTGATTTGACATCGCGGTGTTTGTGGGAGTATATTAGCATAGGGGTTCAATTAGGGTTTGCGG